TTTAATCTTCTTCACATCTGTTGTCATATGCATTTTCTAATGTCTAATTTTGTGTATTTTTATTTTCTTTGTTAATCTTTATTGGACTATCTAGTTACCTATTTTGTTGTTGTTTTTGTTCTCCCAAAAGAAAAATATCTTTTTCATGCTATAAATAAATCTGTAATCTAGATTTATCGAGTCTCATTTTTTTTTATTTCTAATTTATTTGTTTTGGCTTTAATCTTTATTAATTCTGTCTCTTTGTTTTCTTTAAGTAATATCGATAACAGCAACTACTATCGTTGAGTAGCTACAATGTATCAAGCTCTGGCACCTAATAAGCATTCAATAATTTTAAGGTGGAAACTACCATCACCATCATACAGATGAAGAAACTGAGGCACAGTTACTAACAACAACCATAACAACTTGCAAATATTATTATTTCGTGTTTAATAAGAAACTATTTAATACAATTAATTTTCTTCTAAGTACAGCATTGGATACAACTAATAAGTTTTTATATGTAATATTAAGAATGTTATTATTTTATAAATATTCTATAACTTGAGTTCCTCTTTGGCCCAACAGTTATTTAGAAAGTATTGAGACTTTATTTCTAAGTGGTTAAGCAGGTTCTTATTTTGTTATTATAATTTCTAGTTTTAGTGTCAAAGTGTAAACAAATATATTTGGCAAAGTGTCTTCTTATTGAAATTCATTTAGATTTACTTTGTGCCTCAAAAGACTGGTTCCTAAATCTACCTGCTATCAAGAATTATCTGCAAGATTTTTAAAAATAGAAATTTAGACTAACAATCCAATAAAAAAAAAGAAGCAAAGCTTATGAACTGACAGTTCATAGAAAATAAATTCATGTAATCCTTAAATATATGAAGAGATACCCAACATAATTCAATAAAATTATTGTAAATTTGAACTATACTTAAATACCATTTTTGCTTATCAGATTGGCAAAAATCCAAGTGTTTGATAAAATATTCTGTCGAAGAGGTTTTGGAAAAATGGGCAGTCTGATACATTACTGGTAAAAGTTCAGATTTATAGAGCTCCTACAGAAGGCAATTTGGCAATATTTGTTAAAATACAAATATATTTATGTTTTGACCCAGCTATCTCACTTCTGAGAATTATGTTAATCTATATGAATTGACATTTGTACAAAGTTATTCATTGCAGCTTACTTGTGGTACCAAAATACTGACAATTACCATTAACAGAGGATCTATTAAATAAAGTATTTCACATCCATGTAATGAAATACTATACAGCAATAAAAGAAATTAAGATCTTTACATAGTAATATGGAAAGAATTTTAGATATATTTTTAAGAGAATCAAATTATAGAACAATACAGAGTGCTAGAAATAAGGAGGAAATAGGGATAGATACTATTATTATGTCTTTATATATCTTAGATATTTACATTCAAATATATATGGATGTATATGTCTAAATTTGTATTGCTTTTTAAGTGGTTGAAGTTAGAAGTCTGGGTTTTGTTTTTTGTTTTTTGCTTTCCTTAAAGCTCCAAGATGATTCTCTTATAGCAGAGTCACAGAAAACTATTGCTCTACCTTACAATCAACTTGTGTAAACATTCCATAGGCACTTGAAAAGAAGCAGAAATCTCTGTTAGAGGATCAAGTCTGATATGTAAATATAGATATAGATACAGCTAAAAATATATATAATTGGCATAAGTAATATTAAGATAATCCATATCCTCCATTTCCTATCCTAGTTGATCTGTAAGTGATAAAAAGTGTGTTAAAATCTATCACTACAACTGTATTCTGTGAATTTCTCTATACTTTAATCATTATATATGTATATATATAATATATATACATATACATGTATATACTATAACAATAAAAAGGCTCATCAGATATCTTCATCGTGTATTTTATCTTTCATGAAAAGACAACCACCCTCTTTGTCACAATGATTGCTTTTTTGCCTTGAATTCTACTTTTCCATATTAATATTGCCAACTGTTTTAGTTTTGTATTTGATTGTTATAACTTTTTCTCAACACTTTTCTTTTTAAATATACTGAGCTATTTTATTTAATAAAAGATAGATAGATAGATACATAGATAGATACATAGATAGATAGATAGATAGATAGATAGATAGATAGATAGATAGATTGATTGATTGATTTGTGGGGTATTTTTAGAGAAATGACCAAAATGAGAATCTTTGCTGTTTAATAGTGGAATTTAACTCACCATGTATTACACATCATCTATATACTTAGACTTATTTCTATTATCATATTTATTTATTTGTGATTCTTATATTTTCTACCTTTTTCTACATGTTATGTTTTCTTCATCTTCATTATTTGGAAAGTTTTCATTCTACCAGTGATTTTATATCCATGAAATATTAAATTTTCATCAAAATATGTCCAGCTACTAGTTTCCTTTTGTCGATTTTTGTCTGATACTGGATGAGTCATTTCGATCCACATATATAAGTCTTCAGTCAGCTTAAGAACATCAATTATTTATGTTTAATTCCTGTCCACTATCCTCCATATTCATTATAATTTTGCTTGTCATTTTAAAGTTACATTTTCCTTTTAATTATGTCAGAGCTTCTTAGGCATGTTCTCAATAGTAGTAACTGGGTTTTCCACCAGGTAGATTCTGTTCTTTACTGCTTCTAATGCTATTTAAAATTCTTTATGGACATTTTTAGTTTTCTTATTTCCTTAATTTATCAGATTTTAATCTCATTTTATTGCTTTATTTGATTTTTTGTCTTCATAAAGTTTATTTTTTCTAGAAATTTCCTGAAAATATGAAGTTAATAGATATCTAAATTTAACTTGGCTTTCTATAATGAATCCTTTCCAAAACTCAGTTATTTTTCTACCTTCTAAGTGCTAGATTATGCTTTTTTAGATACAGAATCTTTTCTTTCACCAACCTGTGAAGTTTTTTTTTTCTCCTTCTTTATATTCGAACTTGAAAATGAAGAAATCTACTCAGGCTCGTTATTTGTTTCCAAATCGTGGGTAGATTCTTCTTGGCCACTCTCACAACACACACAGAGGCTATTAGAATATTATTCTCAGATTAGGCTGAAGAGCTGGTTGTTATAAGACATCAGTTAAATAATACAGAAGCCTATGGGGAATGAGGAAGAAGCTAGGACAGAAGTCACTGCCTGCAGGGGAATTTTATCTCTGCATAATTTCTTCTTTGTGTCTGGTAAAGCTGCTAAGCCATGGAGTCAATTTTTTTCATGTCTGGTTTTCGATTTGACCTGGCCATCACTCCAAGTACATGATGGGATTGTCCAGCTTCCTAGCTGGTGTACGGTTTCTCTCCACCACCCTATCCACTGGCTTTCTATGTGGGAAAGCCACACTTGAGCTTGCCCTTAGGCTCCCCAGGGCAATGATTTCAAATGCAATTGACTCAAAACAACAAAAGTGTTTCCATTGTAGAAAGACCCCAACTGTTCCAGGGCTCATCCTCACTTCTAAAAGGTAGAGGATTCCCCACAGAATCTCCAATTTCATATATTTCCATATTATATTGGTTTCTAAGGGGACCTGGGGTTCAACTTTCAATATCACCTACATTAGAGCCCTAACTGCCCCCATAGATTACCCAAAAAAAAAAAAAAATCATCAACATGTGTATTGCATTCCTGGCATCTTTCTTTAGTTTTCAGTCCTGATGCAGCATTTCAGACAGGATGTAATATTCAGAAAAGGGGGTAAAATTCTTATGTTTAACTGTCATCTTACTCAGAAATCCTACCTAATCTGGGTCTGATTTTTTTTTTTTAAGCAAGGAACTTTCATTACAGAAGTTCACCTAGCTCAAAATCCTATTCAGAAATGGGGCTCCAGGTAGTATTCCCTCAGAAAATTGGGTCTAGTGGTTTAATTGACTCTTCTATATCTTGCAAATATGATTTCTCGGTAGGTTAACTTCAGTAAAGAAAATTGCTCCCTTTCTCAATAAAAGCAAACTGAGATTGGGTGGGTGCCGATAACTTCCTAGTACCACCCCCCCTGCCTCTAAGCAAGGCTATGTGTCCCTCTCTCCTCTCATATTTATCTCACCATTTAGGCAGAAAAAAATATATATTGTTGTTCTTTTCTAAATACTTTCAAGGACTTGCATTAGATTCAACAAATAGGGACTGGGAGCTTGACAGGTTCACAGCACTCTGCTAAGCACCAGCACTCGGCCTTCACACGTGGCCCTCCTGGCTTCTCCACCAGGCCAAGGACAGAGAGAAACAAGACCCAAAGAAACAAGACACAGATTCTCTGTGCTCCCGTAGCATCCTGTGCATATCGCTTAAATAATACCCGCGACACATATTAAATTTCTGTTTTTCTCTCTCACTAGACCATAAACCTTTAGAGAACAGGGACCATGGCTCAGTCACCGTGACATCCCCAAAGCCTATCATAGTTCCTGGTACAAAGGACGTTCTACAAACCTGTTAGCCAAACCAAACAGAAGCCAGTTCCAGTTCCTGCCCTTGAGGAGGTCATAACCGAGGGAGAGGTCCCTGGCTTGGTTGTAAACTGGTGCTCCTGTTGTGACTGTCATTCCGTCTTGGGGAACCCAACATACACAGAGATGCTTTGGGATTTATTTTTCCCAACTGGATGCACACCATTGAGAGCGTTCTGGCAAACTCTCTTCCAGGATGATCTGGAGTTGTATCTCAGCAGG